CATGAACATAAGTTAGAATCTAATCTTGATTTGAGTCCTAGAATTATAAGACAATAGGGAGGAGACATTGAATTAAATGATGAATTAGTGTTAGAAACAAAGTGTGAAACAGAGATAAAGGTCTAAAGCAGAGGCAAAACAAAAAGTTGAAGCATATGCAAAGATAATTTTATTCTATACTCCTTCATAAACTGATAGTACTCAAGTAAATTTAAATTCTGTCTTTTAAAAATTTAAAATTTTCATAAAGTAATAATGTAACAACCCCGGAAATTTAAAATAGAATTTAAAATTCAAAAATATCAAATGCGGAAGCGAGGTCAAAATTTGAATAACATCCCTTACACTGAAACCGAAACGTGCTCACAAAATATAAAAGATTAAACTACCTAAAGGAGAAACTTGAAAGTAAAAACTACGAATGTGACTATGGAGTCTTTAGGCGTCCCCTTCGTCGTCCTCCTGCGGAATCGGCTCGGGAACGATGTCCTCTTGATCTGAAATGATTAAATAAGGAATGAGCTACACTAGCCCAGTAAAGACATCACGATATCTCACCGTCACGGAGGTCAAGGTGGGTAGAAAACACAAAACGACCAATGGAGCATAATTTACAACAAATCCTTTTATCGATAAATAAAACCTTTACCATTTACTTACCTCGGTGAAATTCATAAAACAATATACGAAAGCAATAACATCATCATCATCATCATGGAAACATATATATGAACTGTATAACATAATACCTATCACACTTTTCGTAATTCAATCGTTACACAACATATTTTCCTAATTCACCAGCCCACTAGTATCCATGGGGATCCATAGGGGTCCCGCTACCCGTTAATCCTTAATACTTGAAATCAAATTCCAGGGCCGTCCCCATACCCCGTCCAGTATGGGCGCCAAACCATAGACCTCATTACCCCGTCCGGTATGAGGGTGAAACGGGCCGTCCCCATACTCCGTCCGGTATGGGCGCCAAAACACATAAGATCTCCATACCCCGTCCGGTATGGGAGACCACAATCCCGGTAGGGTTCCCTACGGACCCGGTCCGTCCACCATCTCCCAAGATATCTAGTCAGCTGACCACATTATACTATTATCCATTTACATAATTGTTCATTCTCTTTTTCCTCAGTCAGCATCATTAAGCAAGCAAAACGATAATTTATGCTAAGCAGACAACATACAGCATCAATATCCCGGTCATTTAATCCATAATCAATAAAACAGTAAAACATGCACACGAAACTATAAAATGAAAACATCGAACCTCATGCTACGTTTAAAACTGTAAAACAGGCCAAATAACAATTAACCGACAAACACACTAGACTCGGGCTCCATTAGCGACCTTAAACAATTTCACACATTCGTTGATTCATGAAATACCGTTTTATCATTTATTGAACTTTAAAACCGTGATAGAAAATAAGGTGAGGGGTCCTTACTCGTTTCGGGGTCCGAACACGGCTTCACAGTGCGCTTGCAGGCTGTCCCTAATTTTTCCTGAACTTTCCTTGGGGAACTGAAACGCACTACTGGTACCTACACGTGTTCCAAAAAAAAAATCCCAAATTAGGCCCAGGGCCCCTTCCGGCCCTAATCGCAACTCCGGCACGGCGCCGCCGCCGCCGCTGGCGGCGGCGATTCGCCTCGGGTTGGCTGTTTTCGGCCGTTTCCGGCCGAATTCGGCCACACTCGCATCGGTCCCTGCGAGAAAACAACCCTAGGGCCCTCGGGGGGCCAAAAAATCACAGAAAAACGGAGCTTACCGGCGGCGGCGCTCTCGAGTGCGGCGGCTCTCCGGCAAGGTTCGTGTTTTGGTGATTCGGCTCCGGTCAACCTGTAGAGAAAAGAGTGGTGATCACGGTGATATAAAAATTGCATCAAACGGAGGCCGGGAAGGGCCTCATCGGAGGTAAAAACCGAGAAGGGCGCGGCGGCGCCGCTGGGCTTCGGCCGTGCATTCCGGCCGTTTGGCCGGGATTTTGGCTCCGATTTGGCTACAGGAGGAATCAGCGTGGAAAAACGAGTCGGGGGTACGAAATTTACCTCGATCGGCGGTCGGAAGTTCCTCCGGTGCGGCGACGGGTGGCGGCGGCTGGCTTTTGGTTCGTCTTCTCCGGCGAGCGGCAGGCGGCTAGGGTTTGTGGTCTGCTGTGGGGGTTCTATTTATAACCCCTTGCCTTTTGATCTCAGCCGTCCATTTTGTTTTAATCTGGGTCGTCCGTTTTTGATTGAATCTGGGCCATCCGTGCGTTTAAATCTGGGCCGTCCGATCGCACGTTTGATCTGGGCCGTCCGATCGCGCCCACACGGATCGCCAACGCGGCCTTTTTTGGAACGACGTGGTTTTGCCACGTAGCAGGTCCCGGTTGGCCGGGACTGCTGACCGGGCCTGCTGACGTGGCTGCCGACGTGGCTTTTTTTTTTTTCTCGGTCCGGGCGCTACAAATAATTTTATCAAGAGATCTGCTACTTGATCTTCATTTGATGTGAAATAAATAATTAATTTTTTATAAGATAAAATTATAATTAATATATTTTATTTAAGAATAGAATATGAGATTGATAGAAAAATATAAAATGTTATAACATTATCATTATGTTACATCATAGGAAGGGATGACAAAGAAATGTAGAGCTAATTATAATGCAAAACAAGTAATTTAGATGTTATATTTGCTACTATATATATATATATATATATATATATATATATATATACACACCGAGAAATGGGCAGGAGCTTATTTTATTTTACTTGCCTTAGAAATTAAATTTTTGCCAAGTAAAAGTTGAATATCTTTCATCTAGACAACTGTCCTCAAATTCGCATATGAATAGACAAATTAGCAAAAATTTATATAGGAAATATCATATACCAAGATACAAAGTGTCTTTAATGTAAACACAAAGACATATAGCAACTCTCTAATAATCACCCATATCAACATGCATAAAGTGACACAATGTATTTACGAAAAAAGCAATATCCAATTTTGTAATGATTGCATCGGTGGTTGTTTAATGATATAATTTTAAATTATGAAATATAGTTCTATTAATATTTGATAAAGCCATAAGAATGTAGAATAATTTATAATTTAACATTTTAATAAGATCTCAAAAATATTTTATTTGAGATAAATAAAACTAATTTTTTTTTTTTTTATCATTATACTTTTATTCTTATAAAATATTTAATTTTATTAGATATTTTACTGTATATTCACACTAAATTAATTAATTTATTATTGAATAGTCAAAAAATGATAAAGAAAAAAAGATAAGTCCACATTCTAGCCATATAAACTATGAGAAATTTAAAAGGTAATGAATATCATGAAATAATACATGGTGTGCGATATATAAACAATTTATTTTAGTGTCAAGATAATCATTTCTATAAGAATAAAGAGATTCACTCAAATAAAAATAAGGTGCAGAATGAAATGATAACTTATGCTTATTGTATGATCAAAATTCTAGACAACAAAAACTAAAAAGGAAAAATCTTAAATTATGAGTAATTTAGATTTTTATTTTATGTAGAATAAGGAATATTTCATTGATCGAATTGGAGAATGAAGAATTAATTAGAGAGAGAATTTCTTTGAATGCATAGTGCCAATATCGAAGATGAATATAACATATCCTAACAATGAAAATCTAGTCTCTACCAATTTCTTTTTGTCAACATTGTCATTTTATTCATGTCCAGTAAAAAATCTGGAGGCTGACGGAGATAAAGATTTAGCTTTTGCTACCACCACCATTTAAGAATTTCACTACAAAATTCTCTCTTAAGAATTGAAACAAACCCAAAATAATAAAAAAAAATATATTATTTTTATGTTAAAAATAATAATTTGTAAGTTAAAGAAGACTCATTGTCTTCTAAGAAATTAAAAATAATAATTTATAAATTAAAAAAATTTAAATAAAAATTTAAAATTATAATTTCAGAACTCTTTATCTTATATTAAATTAAAGATATAAAAGTCTTTTAATTTTATAATTTATAATTTATAAATTAAATTTTAATACGAATCTTTTAAATTTTTTTAAATAATTATATTTTATATATTAAAGTTAATTATCGTTTATATATTTAAAATTTTAAAATTTATCCAAAGTACTTAAAAATTTTTAACAACACCCACAAATAAAAATTTTAATTTTTTAATTAATTTTTTTTTATCTCTTCTATTTTTAATAAAATATTAGATTGAGTTAATTTATCTCTATAAATTTTTTCAACATTTTAAATTTAAATTTAAAAAAAAATGTACATGAATTTAAAAAATCAACAACACATAAAAATATATATATATATATATTTGTTATCATTCTGGAACTTATAAGAGCCAGTCCACATTCGCCTAAGTGAATAACTTCTAAAAGTCTGAGGATGAAGTATCTAGATCAAGAATTCCTTGAACTTTTCTCCTATATATTTCCTCAATATGCCAACAAAATTCTCTCCCCAAAAACCTTCAAACTCCTTTCAAAGCGACGGAATAATCTAACCTTACAATACTATATGTCAACTAAACATGATCACCAGCAAGCTAGATCCTTGGTGAATGCGAGCTTTTGCTGCTGCAACTGCTAGAAGTTGTGCTGCTGAACCCACGCGTATCTGAACCGCCTTTCACGCAGCTTCCAAAACCAAGGCACAGTGCTTCAGCCAATGGTCCACCCGGCGCTGAATCCATCCATGAACCATGGTTCACAACCCCACCGCCTACCTCTTCTCTTTCTCTTCCCATTTCCCCCTTCTTGGGTTCATGATTCACAGTACTGCCTGTTGAGAGTGTAAGAGAAGACAGTGGTAGTAACCTGTGTTTTGAAGAAACATTAGTATTAATTACATGTCTCTGCTCTGCCACGCCCTTTGACCAACCATTTATTAAGTTTTTTGTCTCTTGTGTTTGTCTCTGATTCAGATTTAAAGCTTCTTCCACTAAGCCTGAGCCCACACTGTATTCTGGTAACTGTGCCTGTGCTTGCATGTTTAGGTGGTGTTGGTCCCTATAATCACACATTATGTATTCTCTCCTTAATCTTATCTTGGCCTGCACAGTTTCTTGCCACTCTTGGGTTGAATTACTGGTCACAGACACAGTTTCCCCATTCATGAACCACTCTAGATACCTAAAAGAAACACCTTAAGTACAACACGTGCAACCACAAACATAATAAATTAATTAAGAAAATAAGAAATGAAAGTAATTAACTCACCTGAGTTGATCATAAGATGATGGTATAGTGGAGAATAATGTTGGGTCAACGGTAGAAATTTGGGACTTAGTGGGTTGAGATATTGCAAGATGGCCTAAAGTTTTGTCATGGTCATTCTTCTTAGTCTTGTTAAAATGGAGAGATGAACATTCCACAGGCTTTCTTGAACGAGGACGGTTCTTATGTGAGTGCCTTTCACAATATTTTTGGTCAGGAGCCACATCC